ATGGCTAACTCTTTGGCTTGCGGGCAAGTGCCTTGGACTCACTCTAATTAGTCAATTTTTTTCTTCTTTTTATTTTTTATACTCAATTAAATCTGTAGTAGCTTCAGTTGCAAGCACTCGAGTAAGCAAATGATGAGCAGTAATTAGTAGGGGCCCTCACATACATAGGTATAAGAGCGCATCTACATACACACGCATATACGAAAATAACTCGGGTTGGGGACGAGGTGGAGACGCTGCTTCAACTTCAACTTCAGCTTCTTCTTCTGCTTCTTTGGCTGCGACCAGCGTCGATAAATAATAATTTTCTTGCTGCTTGAGCAACTTTTTTTCCTTTGTGGCATTGCCACAGGATGACAGGTGCAGTGACAACCACACACACACATACAGAGCGTGGCAGAGCGCAGCGCAAGCAATTTACAGAAATGACCCAGTGGGACTTGGGCATGCCAAAGTACTTCCCACAGGTAGAAGGTTCGCATGACATGCAATTTAGCGATAGTAATTCTTCTGCTTTGCCATTTAAGTTTATAAATATCACACTGTATGGCAAAAAGTAGCATTTGCTATTTATTATTAATTGAAAAGTTCGAATTCTGTTCAGAAGTGTCGTTCCTCGAAAGCCCACGTTCCAGCTGGGGCGTCTCTTGTTCAACAATGACAACCACACACACGCACACACATACACATACGTGTTTATATATAGATACACACAACTTACATGTCATACATGTACATTTATAATCAAGCAGCCAGCCGCAAAGACCTCGGACTCCAGCACATACGCATTACATGGCGCATGATGAAGCATCTTCGAGTGGGCAAAACCGAAGCGATTTGATGCTGATGGTGATGCTGATGCTGATGCTTCTGCTGCTGCTGCTCCTCTGCCCGGTAGCTCTTGCACTTAGTCGGTTGCAGCTTGTAGCTGCTAAATGAAAACATATATTGCGGTCGCAGATTGCACGGGCTCAACTCTTAAGTTAGTGCCTCCAAAACAAAGTGGCAAAGCGCAGCCCTGAAGATTGCCTAGCGCACAGTGGGATGGCACAATAATAATCTTCAAAAGCTCTACGAAACTACTCAATTAGTAGATACGCTGCCACAGCATATGGTAATCGAGCGAATGCTTCACACATTTTCATTATTTACACTTGAAGCCTTTACGACTTTCTAGAGCCTAATTGCTAAAGGGTGTCTAAGATGAAATGCTATTAAAGAAATGGGCAGAGCTAATTACCAACTGGGAATGGCATTTGCAAATATTATGCTTAAATACCATATGTATTAAGGGGCCTCCGTTGCTGGCCTCTAAAAATGTGAAAGTCATACGAATATTGGTAATTTTTTATGCTTTGCTGCGAGAAGGTGGCAAAAGTTGGGCATCGAAAATAATTAAGGAATTGTGATTAGTCTGATGACAATGCAAATTGCGTAATGGGCAATGAGGGAGTATTCATAATTAGCTAGTTTGAATGGAATGGAATTGATTTAGCATATTTTCATTGCTTTGCTCCACTGTTCGACAGCAAAACATTCTCATCAATGTCGTTGTCGTTGTCGTTGTTGTTGTCGTTGTTTTCTGTGGTTGGCATTGGTCGCAGACAAACCCAGAGACAGTCAGAGAGTCAGAGAGTCAGAGAGTCAGAACCAGTCAGTGCCAGAGTCCACTTGTCCACTTGTCCAGGCAATGCACCGGCAGCTTTTTCCATTGCCAACGCTTCCTACAAATCGTGCAATGATGAAAGCCATGGACAAAGTCTTTGACTTGTATTCAGTTTTTGTTATTACTTGCGCCGCAGCTTCTGTGTTTTTTTTTCTCTCTTTTTTTCTTTTTTTGATGGTTTTTTTGTGCCGCCTGGAACGCTTTTATGCCCATTCAGTACATCTTTTTGCCTGGCCCATCATTGTCCGTGCGTCCGTCGGGGACGGACAACTCCGTTTTGTGTAAATGCGACTAATGTGTGTCTACGGAAGCCATTTCGTGCCTTTTAGCTGTGAGTCAGTGCAGAGAGTCAGTCAGGCGACCTGTAACCAGTTTCCAGGCCAAGTCATTCGGTTTGTTTTCTTTTGCAAAAATGAAAGAAACAAACACAAACGCAAAGGCAAACACAAAAAGAAGAAATGTAGTTAATTCGCCAAGTAATAATATTATACTCGTACTTATAAATGTCGTCTGAGCAACATGCTGTGCAGTCCCAGTCCAGTTCCAGGCTCGATTATGGCCAGAAGAACCTGCCGGACCAGCCCCTCAAGCTAAATTGGCTTGAATTTTACGGCTGCTTTTGCTGTTTTTGTTGTTGTTATGATTGTCAGCAGCAGCAGCAGCGGCAGCAGCATCAGTAGAAGAAGAACGACAATCGACGATTGGCCTCGCCTCGGCCTCGGTCTGTATTTAAGCGACATCATTCATCTGCTCGCCCATCAACAGCAGCAACAGAAGTAGCAGCAGCAGCGCCGGCTGCACAATGCCTGCCAATGACGATGTTCTGGATGGGATACGGATGACGATGATGATGATGACGACAGCAATAATAATAACAAACAACAACACCAACAACAATGAGCGGCCAGAGTCAGGCTGCAAGGCAGCCCTGTGGCCCATCAGACAGCTTCGTACAAAGTACAAGTCCGCATAATTATAATCAACGTCATTTAACGTTGCCGGCCGTCACTCAGCGCCATCTACAACATTTACAACAGCCGCAGCAACAGCAGCAGCAACAACAACAACAACAACTTGTAAACCCAGAGTGCCCCATCAAGCTCATTGTTGTGTATCTTTTGGATACATTTTTGATAACAGAGGGCATAATAACTTTGTCATTAGGTTAGGAATGCATTAATGGAATTACAGACATATAACAGAACTGTAGCCAAACACCAAATGGTCGGTATAACTGTATGAAAATGGCTTTATCTTGCCGCAAAACTCGGACAATATTTTGAAGGTCTAGTTTCTTATAGAGTCCCAATGCAAGCTGGTGAAACTTGGCTGGAAATTGGTGTAGAGTTTTGGGATTATTTTTTCGATTTATAAAATCAAATTTGTAGACATTCTTATTGAGTATATATTTATATATATATAAAATTTTGTCTCTAGCGAAAAAATTTCTTATTCCAGCCAGTTCACTTGGCAGCCCTGATGTTGGCCCAAATAAATTAAGAAACCAGGCAGCCCCTACTTCAGTCGGAAATTAATCAAACTGAGCTGCTTCGCAAGTCAATTCTAATTTTTGGAAATCCTCTGCTCTAATTGCCTGAAGGGCATCAAATTCTCGACTTCGTCGTTGGATTAGCTTTTTCGCTTTAATTTCGTGGCTCGTTTTTCCTCAGTGCTGCATGGCAGCTTTGTACGTTTGTCGACCTTTGTCAACTTCAACACGCGACTAAGCGCTTAAAATTGGTGCAAATACAGTCGTATATCCCAAAGTACTCCAAAGTGTGCCCGGCTGTTGTGTATCTAAGGCCGGAAGTGCGCTATTTATAACAAATTGCTGCGTGTTTGACATTTAACCAAACGTCGCGTCGGCCGGCAACTGCGATGGCTTCGCATTAAAGATTTAAATGGGCTGCCGCGGAAAGCGGGTGGCAGCGTGGGCGTGGGCATGGGAGTTGAAATTGAAAATGTAGGCGCCGCCAGGCCACCACGCACTTTTGGCATGTTATCAAATGTAACCGCACACCGAATATACGCGAGTGCCCGGGCCGACATCGGCCTAGTGGTTGATGGGTTAGCCGCTGCTATTTCATCGAATATACCGGACTGCGGGGCCTTACTCTGGGCGTATGCCCGGCTCGAGTTCAGCTAGACGACCTTCTTCATTAAAATTATGACAAGCCGTAATTATCTTCGATTTGCTTTGAGCTACGCATTAATTGCGTGTCAGAGTGGGAAATGATACTCGAACCAAGTGAAATATATATTTGTAGACACATAATTGACGTACACTTCAAGTGTCGCTCAAGTGAATCCAACAGCAAAAAACAAAACTGGTTTCGTTTCTTTGTTTTGTTTTTATTTATTTATTTTTTTTTAAATTAGTCAGCGCTGCAAAAGATGTGACTGAGTTATGTCCGAGTTAGTCAGTTTTAAGTGAGTCAAAATTTTCGTATCTGTGGGAACGAACTCTATGAGTAACGTCTGTGGATTGCATAGCGGAAGATCAAACGGATGGGCAGCTGCTCACACGTCTAGGCAGCACTAAATCAGTTAACTACAATATACAAGAATTATCTTTAGCATTGCAGTTACTTTGAGTATTAAGCTTAAAAGAAAGCTTCTAATATAGTTTTACCACTGACCGATCATAAATCTTTTCTTCAGTCTAAAACACATGAAGCATCGAAAGTATAGTAAATTATTCATCTACCTTTACTCCCTTAGAAATTCGTAGTTTATTTTACCTAAATATGCAAGAGCCTGTCACATTTTTATATATTTTTTTTTGTTAAGTTTTATGAATTCCCATAGCTTGTTCTTTTTCAATTTCCTCTGCTTGTCGCCTGGTTAGCCATTAGCTCCCCTTGGAGTGCTGCTCTCCGGTCTGTCAGCCAGTGCTGGCCATGTTCTGGGGAAACTGCGTGACCAGGTTAATTAAAGCTTCGGAATATGTTGACGAACTGCCTGCTTGGCTGGCTGACCGGCTGCCTGCTTGCCTGGTGGTATGCTCAAAAGTTGCAGTTCAACTAACTTGAGACGTCAACTATGTTGTAGAATCTTATAGATACCGGTTCATAATTTATGTAATTATATGCATTTAAGCATTGCAGCACGCAGCAGCTAACTGCGAGCTGCATCTGTGTTGCCATTATATAGCTCGACATCAAATTATAGCAATTATATAATTTTTCTTTCCTTCACTTGTCGTCTATTTACAGAGGGTCGTCCACATCCGTCAGCAGACTCCAGCCCGGCAGCTGTGTGTGAGTGTCTATCTGTGTGACAAGCGCAACTAATGAGCAGCAGCAGCGGCAACAAATCGGAAACAGGAAGCAGCAGCAGCAGCAGCAATAGTAACAGCAACAGCAACAGCAACATTGGCAGCTTCGAATGAAAGTAAAACTGCGTGGCCATTATTATCATTACTAAATAATCGTAACTGTGATAGCACCAAAGAAAACACAACAGCAGAAGCATCTTCAGAGAGAGAGCAACAGATACAAAAGATAAGCAGTTGCCGTGCGTAATTACGTTTCACTGATTTTCAAACTAATAAATGTCGTACGCGCAATCGCTGACAACAACAGCAAAAACATCAACTGTTTACTGAAGCCAAGCAGCCAACAAAACTCCGCACAAAATGGCGCACAAAATGAGGCAGACAGCAGCAGCGGCAACAGCAGTAGCAGCAGCAGCAGCAGCAGCAACAACACACACGACAGCAATACAGAGCTCCACAAGAGCAACACGAGTTGGCACGCATTCAAGTTCAAGGCGGTCATCGTTAATCACATGTTTTATATCCTGCCACACGTTCGCCTCGCTTTTGTTGTTATTCTTGCTGCTGGCCACGGCACAAGCGGCCAGCAAGCTGACCACTCGCAGCAACAGCAGCAGCCCCAACAACACAACGGCAGTAGCAGCAGCAGCAGCAGCAGCCTCACAAGCGACGCCCGTCTGGGATCATGCCATCGATTTGAATGAGGATTTTCGCATACTATGGCAAATCATTAATCAGGATATAACATTTGAAATACAGGCACGTACATTGGGTTATGTCGGCTTTGGATTCTCGCCCGATGGGAATCTGGCTGGCGCGGATATGGCCATCGGCTGGGTGGACAAGGGTCAAACATATTTTCAGGTGAGTGATAACACAATAAGATAAGCAAAAGAAGTCCCCGCCCTCCCGAAAGACGCCCTTTTGGAAAGACAACCATTTTTCATTTTGGGTCCGGGTTACATTTTCATTTTCCAATGCGTGTGGCCGGAAATTAAGGCAGCTAGCTAAATGAAAAGTTGTCGCCCTAATCTCTGGCAATTTATTTTCAAGTCTTCAAGCAAACATTTTGATAAATAATATTAAAAAAAGTAAAAATATACATAGCAGCAAGAACGAAGAGCGCAAAACAAAAACAAAAACAAAAAATTGTTGTTAGCTAAACAAGAAAAGCATTTTACCACTCAAGTTGGTTAGTAATTAATTTGTTGGGTGGCAGCAACAGCAACGGCAACGGCAACAGCAACAGCAAGAACAAAAAGTGAAATAAAAATAAAAAAGCGAGCCAGGATACGAGCCAAGTTCCGTTGAAAAAGCGCACAAAATATGTGCAAAGTCTCAGCTGGGCAGGTTCCTTGACAGCGCGGCATATGAATAATGACAGAGTCATTTGTAACGACTCGAAGCTTTTTTATTTGAATGTGCACGCGTTCCTACAGCGCCCACACCTAGCCGCAAACGTCCTTCGTCCTGCGTGTAACCAACTGAAATAAGCTGATCGCACAGCACATCCAGCAATACTTCAGCAAATACCTATAACTAGATCATCAGTTATACGCTAAACTAAAATGGCTTAAAAATTTTGTATTATTTTATTTAAGTTTTATATTTTTTTAATACATATTTCAAACAGTCTTTTATTGCTATTTAGATATTATTATTTTATTTAAATTTTTTGTGTCTTGTCTTGGAAATTATTTATCAATTGTCAAATAGGTTTTGCTTCTAATTGGCTTGAGAATTTTTAAAATAAATTAATAAGCAGTTGAAGTTAAGTCCAAGTCAATAATACTTGAAAATGTCATGAAAGGCGTTTCCTTGGTGCTAGGAAAAAATGGGTTACGCATGGGAGTGGCTCGCATTCAGCCTTTACGTAATTAGAATTTCAGAACTTAATTACTTTTAAAGTTCACACTTAATTCTCTACTTTGCGGACTGTAGAAGGAAATAAAACAAATATGTGATTTTCGACCTTTGTTACTTTTGGACACTAAAACCAATTGGAAATCGTCCATGACTGACGTCGTTTTGGGTAGTTTCCTCGAACCCACTACTGTTTCTATGTATGCCCTTTAAAGTTATCATTTAAAGGTCGGTGCACATTACATACACAAGCCAAAATTTAAGAAATTTACGACAGTTATAAGCAACTTCGATCTACCGTGCTTTCTCTGAGAAAATAAGATCTAAATTCTTGCTTAAAGTCCATAATAAATTGACACTTCTCAAATAGTTTTTGCGTGTTATTAGAGCAGGAAACGTTACAAAATTCATATTTTTCATTTTTCTTTTGTACAAGCTGTAAATATTTTAATAAAAAAGATTTTCATTTAAATTTCATTTCTATATATTTAAAGCTTAGCAGCTTAAAAAAGATATGTATGTGACTTCTATACGCAGCTGTCTACAGGGCATTTTCTGGTCTTTCATTGTCATCCCGAGCTGCTTTTTTGCTTTTTAGCAACGCCTTTGGCTATAACAACGATGTCTATTGTTGCCCTCTATTTGTGCTCCACCCACGGCTACTCCTCCTGGCGCTCTGCAAGAGTAATAGGAGTCGTCACTGCAAAGTGTCTAATGAAATGCGAGTATTGCGTGTTGCGGTTGCGTAGCTCTCTTCTGTTTTCCTTCTCTCAGTCAGTGCTGTTTGCTGCCTGGCAGGATATGCGTGTGGCGCTCCACGTTGGTGGCTGGCTGGCGGCCGGCGGGTGGGCGGCCAATTGTGTCGCTGACACAAACACATACTTGGGGCCAGGCGCTTTTTTCTGCATTTTGCTTGTGTGTGTTTGTGATTTAATGATTTCGAGCCAGCAACGTCAACTACACACACGCCCAGACGGACACATACACACACACACATAGAGGCACACAATGTGATTGTTGTTGAATGTTAAATACCAGATACATTAATATGTCTGTCTGCCCAACCGCCGCCCACTCATTGCGTCTGTCTGTCTGTCAGTTACTGGGTTTTGTGTGACGGTGTTAATTTCACATCTTGACGTGTCGTTGGTAATTGCGAGTCGCTTCAAATTGTACACACTCACACACACACACTTGTGCACTCGCACACAATAAGCATGACGAGTCGTGACTGTCTGACGGCCTTTTTGGATAACCTGCCCCGACCACTGTTACCTGCCAGCCCCTATTCAACTATCACCTTTGTTGCCTTTGTATGAATGTTTGCTGATTTGTCAAAATGCTACGCTTGAAGCCCACACAATGTGTCAAAGGTTAATTAGAGCCAAAATAGATATGGCTATTAATATAATAATTAAGTGTTGAAGTGTAAGTAAAAGCCTGGCATTAAAGCCATATCAATTGTTTGCTCAAGCTCGGGGTTAACCTCTCTATCTGACTGATTATGCTGCTTTGTGTGTGTGTGCGAAAGCGTCTGCGCGCGCGTGTGTGTGTGTGTATTACAATTATCTAATGGCCAATGCGTAATTGCATTCAATTCTTGAATTATGAAATTAATATTCAATATTTATTGCACAACAGTTAAACACATTGCAGACTTCGTATTCGCGTTAATTGGAAAATGCTGGGAAAAGCAATTTAAATATGAGCTGCCAAAAGGACATAAACAAAATTCTGAAATTCATATTCGATAGCAATGCCCAACTATCAGATACGCTGTACATAGCGCTCAACTCGAAACTGATTTCCTTCGCAGTGCATGAATAGGAATATTCTTCAGCTTCTATGAGGCCTCAGCTGTAATGGGAATGTCATCATCGAATCATCGATGTTCAATCAATTTATTCAATAGGTGATTACTCTCTTTCGTGCATTTACTGGCTACGGGGTATAGGAATTATTTCAATTGGCACATTTCTGGCATTTCATATATTCATTTCAATTTGCCATTTCCCAGTTTAACCACACACAATAGCTGTATATATGTATATACACATACACGTACGTATTTGTATGCAACACAAACTCGGAGTAATTGTTGAGTCGGCTTTAACTATGAAAAGTCCGAAATATTTTCAACTTTAAATCGAGTCGAGCTATCTGACCAAGGGCAAAAAGGGATGGCAGAGCGGGCGCTCGTACGAATATCTATGCCGAAATATCTCTGTATTCGACTGAAAAAATAGACTTGGGCATTGGCATAGTTTCCATTTAACAATGTGTGGTAATTATGTATTGAGAACAATTGCTGGTATTTCATAATTTTTGGCTGTCATGGCATGGCTTGAATATTTCGAAAATCCAAGAGTTCATGTTGCTGCAGCGCCTGTGACAATGTTTGACATTTTACTATGACGAGTCTCGTTAAAAACTCTTGAAATGCAGCAAAATATGTCGAGTCTTTATTGCTACTAATAATTAAATATTTATACCATTCTACTTAATTATTTAAATTAAAAATGCAATTCAATCGTTAAAGTGACCCACAGGCTTTGGGCAGCTGCTCAACTTTTCTATGCCACGCCCACTTCTAGTAACGCGTAAGTCACAACGGTTCTATGCATTCGACATACCTCACTTTCGCCCACAGCTTAATACAAGCAGCTGCTAAATGGCGCTCGTTTTAAAGCCTGACAAAATGCTTGAGAGCTCAAAGCCGCTGGGCGACAGGAGAGGGGGGACTACAAGGTAGGGTGTTGGGGGCAGATGCCTATTAGTCGTCCATTATTTGTAGATACTTTGCGATAAGCCATGCCGCCGCAGCCGACAATAGCGCCACACCTAAAAGAGGAGGCTAAAAAGCGAGGCACGACAACAACCACATAAAAACCCAAATACAAATTTGTGTAATTTATTTTCAAGCTTTATTGGAGCGGGCATCTGGAGGACGGCGGAGACTGGCGCTTATCAAAATTTTAATTAATACGCATCAGAGAAACTTTACGAAAATGGGTTTTAACGCTCTGCAGCCCTAAAGCAACGCTGTGACGTTAATTAGTGCCATCCAAGTGGCGACTTTGTTGCACTCCCGTTTCAGCGACGAGAAGTACAAGCCCCAAAAACAAGCCACAACAAGCCATTAGCTAGAGAACCAGGCGATTAGTATCTTAAAAGTACTTAAAAGGTCATTACACTGCACGGACCAACCAGCCGGCCAACAGGCGGGGAAAAAACTTAGCCAACAACTAATTATTTAATTTCAAATTTTAAGTATGCTCCGCCAGAGCCAACCGGCTAACCAGCCAACCAGCCAGCGAGCCGAACCAACAAGAGCTGTCAGTCATCTTTGCCTCGCAGCGAATGCCGTACGCGTTCGCCTCCCCCTTGCCTCCTCACGCACTGCTCGAAAAAAGCTTTGGCCCCTTTGGCTCTAACCTAACCCATTAAGCACAGAGAGATAACAGATCCATTATAGAAGAATTACGAGTACGCAACATCACCGATTGCCAGTGCCAGCGCCAGCGCCATGGCCATCGTCATCGCCATCGCCGTTGCCATCGCCATTGCCTCGACACATCCAGCTTCATCTCCGGCTCCATCGTCGTCATCTTTTGCTAATGACCATCGATGTCGACGTCGACGTCGATGTCGATGCCTGCGTGGCGTTGCGTTCCCTCGTAGTACATCACTCAACCTCAACTGAATGGCTGACTGCTTGACTGGCCCTGGTCCGGATTGGGCTGGGTTGGGTTGGGCCGCGTATCTATTCAATATCCATATGACCAGCTGTCCATCTAATTTTCAAGTGGCTATGCTGCACAAGCTCAAACAACAGCTAAGAAAACAATCATAAGATACCTCAACGACATACAAATACACTTCTGCTCATAGAGCGTATGTTTGTGGAAAGTTTTTGAATTGGAAGTAAGAGTTGACCGAGTGTGAAAATGATATTTATAAAAATAATTGCAAATAATTTTTAGAATTTTGAACTAAGAACT